TACAGTAAGCGTCAAAATCTTCCCAAAGAGCGCAGGAGACTATTCTAAAGAACTGGAAAATGCTGCAGGCACATTTAGTACGAAAAACTTTATATTTACTTGCATACTTATATGTAGTTATAATTATCTGAACAACGTATTTATTTTAATAATATTAACATACAAAGAACGTATGTATTTGGAGGATTTTGATGCAGACAAAAATCGATATATATGTGGAAAAAGTACACTTCGTTAATAAGTATAGTCAGTCTCCTTTGCCTTTAAAACCTTCCTAATGCGATCAGGCAGAGAATTAATAATATTCCTGCAATCGTGCGATGTTTATTTTGTTCCACTCATGTACACGTTCCCATAATTGGTGGGTGCTTTCAGACACAACTGCATAGTCAGACAAGTGACATTTAAGAAGGGACCATATGTCTTCAATCGGTTGAGATCAGGCGATTGAGACGGCCACTCAAGCAGGCTATATTGATCTCAAAGCTACGACATTCCCTCCAGGATATAGTCTGTTTTACATTATTATCTTGATGATAAATGAGAGCTCCTATGTGGTAATAATCAACAGGTTTTTAATAAATAATTGTCAAGTATCTCAGTGTAAATAACGCTATTAATTCTATTAGGTATAGAATAAAGCATTCCAGGCCAACATAGGTAATGCGGCCTCAGACCGTAAGACTACCACCACCAAATTTCAATGTTGTTTGTAGTTCTCGCTCAGTTATAGACTTTATCGATGTAGTCCCTACCCATTTTCGCCCATCTGAACCAACTCTATTAATTTTCGATTCATCTGACCATCAATCTTGGATCTTCCAATTTTCTAAGGTCCAATGTATACATAGCGTTAGGCAAAATTAAGACGTTTCTGTTTACGCAATCTGGTAAGTTTAGGCTTTTTGGGCTCTTGCTTTCAAATTGTTACGTTTTAGGCATCTGCGGATAGTTGCAGTACTCACTTCTATTCCTAAGCCATGTTTCAATTCCCTCTTTACTTGTGATGATGTATCGCAATGTCCCTTCGTTATCAAACGTACGCATACCTTTCTGTTTTAGCGTTGAACGTTTTTTCCTGCCAGCTTTTAGATTTTCGTAATATGGTAGCTCACTAGTTTTTATTCTGGATACACCCAACACCAACTTCTAATGCTGTTTTCTCAACAATTCTCAACAGAAAAACTTCTTCAGCAGGTTAACAATAAGAAGTTTCTTCTCACTGGAAAGCTTCTGCATGATGACGCATAACAAGCGGCAGCTCATTTGCATATTTATACATTAATATTGCCTTAATATGCACGAAATTACATTGTTTAATGTTGAGATTATAACAAATTAATTNTCCGTTGCGTGTCGCTTCGCGTTGAATTTTCGTCGATGTTAAGCCTAACGAAGACTATTGTATCGTTAAAAATTATTTTTTTATTTTGTACAAACAAAATAAATATATTGAAAAATATAAAAATAATAAATAATTATACTTCAGATGTTAATTTAGTATCAAAAACGGAAAATATTTGAGTAGCCCAAGACATAGCCAAAGATTGAAGCGACACAGCACTGGCGAAAATTTAAGTTTGCCACTGGAATTCTTTCGGATGATTGACGTTTCGGATGATTGACTTTCGGAAAATCGACGCTCTACTGTATATACATTTAATTATGGAAATGTATAGAAATGTTAAACTATATGTTAAGACAAGATACATTTAAAGTGTTACAAAAAAAGAGATTTAGATGGCTTTGGAGTTCATCAAGGTTAATCCCATATCTTTTTTTATTTATTAATTAATACTGTATTGGGTAAATTATTGTAGTTTGCGGGGAGAAAAGAGCTATGATATGTTATTCACAATTTATATTGTGCTTATTAATGATAGAGAGAGATTAAAGTTGAGCCAAAAAAAAGTTAGGAACAGGTTAGAGAGGGGGATTAAAAGTCAGTAGATTTAGTTCTTGTATTTCAAATATAGGCTGAAAGAGAAAAAAGAGGAAATTCCAACTATTTAGACAACATATTCAATATATTTACAGGCACATGATAACTTAGCTAAGATAATTATTAATAATTAATGATAATTAGATGATGAGTTAGTGGTTGACAAATAAGATAGGTAAATATAGGATAGCAAGAGTTCAGACAGTATTATTAGATATTGACAGTGACAGTGATTAGTGATGACATGGAGTCTAAAAGAAAGACTTGTTACTGATGTTTTAGGCTTATATAAACAAAAGAAAAATGTAGTAGGCCATCAATAAACCTTCATTCTTATTCTACTTTTGATAGTGACGTGCCGTGACATTTGATGATAGGGAAGCTGTGTGTAAGAAACCGACATCCAGGGGCAATCAGTTAATTGCACATCTTAGATGTCTAGGGTCAATTCGTATTGTTTGTTCGATAAGCCAGTAAAAACCGTAGACTTCTCTAAATGTATTAACAAACTATTTCAAATAAAAACAACTATTCTAGACTCTGCTTTTAATTTAGTAAATAAAATTTAAAATGAAATCCAAAATTTAAGATCAAAATTTAACACATTTTTAGATGATGCAAAAATAAATAGCACGAGACTTAAATATTTCAGAAGACTTCCCTGAAAAAATAAATCGAAAAAGAAAGATTATTTTCCGAATTAGCAGATGAAGCTTTACAAAACCCCGTAGAGGCATTTAGATGTTACTTTTTTCAATCCTGTGATTGATAGATGAGACATTTAAAATATACCCAATATTTTCTTATTTTAAATTAATCACTGATATAAAAACATTGGAAAAAATGAACTAGAAAACCACTCAAGAAATTTTGTAAAATCTTGTAGTAAAGCAGGGGCGTGCCGTGACATTTGATGATAGGGAAGCTGTGTTTCTGTAAGAAGCCGACATCCAGAGGCAATCAGTCAATTGCGCGTCAGTGATGGTCTAGGGCAATATCGCCCCCATGTGGGCGTTTTTCCATGTTGAGGAGACGATTTGTAACAATTTATATTGGGGGACGAAAAACAATTTCTGGCGATATAGTAAAACATTATATTAAGAATAATTAGATATTTTATTTGTTATATTGTACAATAATTAACGTACACGTATTCACGTAAAACACACGACCGTGTCCCCGACATAGCCACACCCCACTTTTTTCTAGAACATTTAACACCTATGATTAATTAATCCTTTAACTATCAAGTGGTGTAATTAAATTTTGGATGTAGATGATAGCTGCAATGCCAAACTGTATCCCCCGATTTAGTTATCATCAGTTTTCTGAATTGCCTCCCGCTACAGAAGCAAATTTAAAGACATATTCACATAAAAAAAACCACAAAAAACAATTCGCAATATTTATATTCAACGACCAACAGGGCCAATAAGAAGAAGGAGCTAGGGATTTTCCTCAGTGTCTGGAGAAAAATTAATGGTTCATAGTGGTTCCAACTCCTATCAAATTAATGTTATTTTCATTAGTTTAATAAAAAGCAATCTATAAAAACAAATTATACATACTGTATTTCATTTGTTTGAAAAATAAGCAAAAAGATCCGTTGTAGCACCCAGACCCCATACAAGTTCAGTGACTGACGATTGACAACCATTTATGTCAATGCACTGTCATTGTAGACAAAACTTACTCGCTGAAAAGAACATGGTATCTGGTGAAAGACGTATATGTTTAATGTTTTTGAACGATGATGCGAACATTTCGTCTATAGTTTGGTCAGACTGGATTGTCGTGTTACTTTGGCCATTCACTTGCGTGAACGGACCTTCACATTTTACGTTCCACGCCATTGACCGTAACGTATATATATATATATGTAATAGAAGATCTGTATGTTCTTTGTACATTTCTAAACCTTTGACATGAACCAAATTTTTCATATTATAGAATACCTAAATGAACTAATTTCATTCCTTTGATACTTTGTAATAATTTAAATTTAATGCATTATTACATAAGTAAGCATTGCGTAATAATAAAGGCGTTACACAGTCTAGGAATTATATTTTTAGCGATTTCAGAGTATAGGATTCTATTCTGGATTTGGAAGGTCTGCTGAAATAACCAAACTTTTAATAGTTTTAATCATATTGTCCTTATTACTGTGCTTCTCGCCGGCCATATCTGCTTGTTAAATACAAATTTTGCAAGAATTATGCCTGCGCAGGGTTTTAAAAATTGGCATTTGCAAATAAATAATTGAAAACATACATCATCAAAATGCTTAGAATAAGTCTTCCATTTGTCGTCCAGCAAAGCGAACACTCTTGGGTTCACGTGGAAATTTCCCGGTTTTCATGTTAGTAACCACATAAGTAGGAACGTTTCCCATAAAAGACGGCATACCCCTCGGCAGATCGCCCATGTGTCGCGTTGCCGTACGAAAACCAACTAAACGTTGTAATAAGTTTAAAGCGTTTTTTATTTCGAAATCCATTCTCGTAATACCGATATTAGGATAGTTTTTTTTAAGGAGAATAATCGAATGGAAGATTTTTCTCATTCATAAATACACGAAATAGACATCCTTTATCTTAAAACTGTTTTTACTTCTCTTAAATCAATTGATAAACTTAAGCATATATATATTTTTAGCTACTTTTATTTCAATAAATCATTTTTAAATAAAATGTTATGTCATTTCACATTTTTACTTTAACAACAACAAAATAGTCTATAATTTAAAACTTTATTAATTTATGGTTTTGTATTATCCAATGTATGCATAACTTTTTCATAAATTTTGGTGTGTATGAACCGATATAGTAAAATTTGTATGACACAAACTAGAAAAGTTAGTAATAAACTTATATATTAATATAAACGATTGATATTATTTCACATTTTATTTTGTCATATCAACATAAAAAATAAATCATGACAGATATAAAAAAAAAAAAACGCCCTTTCGCCTCCATGTGTAAGAAGGCTTGCAGACAAGAGGGCCTGCAAGAGGGAACTCTTAAAAATTAAACAAAAGAAAAATGATTCAAAATCTGTAATTGTTAACTAAAACTTTATTGAGGTTAACAATACGGAAATAAATTGTTTTAAACAGTTTAATATCTCTAAAATAGCTGCTTGCTGAAAAATGTTGGCATTTTCTTGAAAAAAAATCATCTGCTATCAGGTACTAAACAAATCTTAGTATGATTCGGTACGATGGTTACCGAAAGTATTCGATCAAACTTGCAAAAGATAATTTACTATTATAATTACCAAAATTATAGTTTTATCTTCAATGCATCTCTTAAGGCCGCAGGAATAACTGAAAAAAAAATTAACAGGTTAGTTTCTATAAAGTAAACAGCGAATACTGTTCGTTTATTTAGTGATGTTTCAATAGAATTTATTTATTTGTAAATCAAAACAAACCACAGGAAATACACGGAGATTAGCTATCATTTATTTATTTATATCACTAGTCTTCAAACTTCAACAGCTATGGAACTCTCATATCGAAGTATTTTTATGGAATTCTCTAAGTAATAAAGTTAAAAGGAATAGTTTTAAAAAGATTTCAATGCTGTTGTTTTTATTTTCTAAATAATGAAGCTTCTCACAGTTACGTAAGATGCAGTTTATAAATTTTTAATTTTTTATTATTTTAGTAGAAATTATAAAAATAAGAATTCCTTGGATATTTTTCTTCTTCGAAGTCCTTAAAGTTTACTTGCAGAACTTTAAGGTTCTGCAGAACAGTTTGAATACCACTGATTTATTTTAACAAAATATTAGACGGCCGGTTGACCGATTCGATCCCTGACTTCAGGAGGTCTGTCTCGGATACAGTGCCGAAGTGGATAAAACCACTGATCATTGGTAGTTGATCGCGGATTCGAGCCTGACCAATGGGCTAGCCACAAGAAGTTCCGGGTTTTCTCCAGTGTCTAACACCTAAATAGAAGCTATTTTCCACAGAAACTTCTTCCAGGACTTTTTATGCTAAACTATCTGCCTTCACTCCTTGAAAGATCACCCATAGTCATACCCCATCAAACCAATCGTTCCGGACATGGCCGAATCCACAATGGGTACGGGAAAAAAGACCTTCGTACTCACAGGAAAGAGTAAAAGAAAATGGCATGTAGCCTATATATGGAATATGTATGGATGCTAAGTATCCATTTGCTCTGTTGTTTGTTAACTTCCTCTGTTCAATTGGCAGTAAGACCATCTACGCAAAAGAATAGAACACGTGGCCATTCCAACCGAAAGAGGTAAAAAATTTATCTCTCAAGGTTGGTTTAAACTCCTTACGTTTTAATTTTTAAAACTGTTTTTGAACAATCGAAACCTAATATAGATGGAGGGGGAGAAAAGGAAAAACTTACAGGTCTTGATGTGAGTGAGATCACAGTAGGGTCTATTGTTAGTCTGCTTGCATCTACACAAAAAATAATTTCCACTTTTCTCCGGCTTGAATAATATAGGTTTTAATTCGGTGGGACTCGTTTTATGAGAGCCGTCACAAAAAGGCTAATAAACGATATTTAAAATATTGCCAAAAATTAATTATCAAATATTAAAATAATAATTATTATGTAAAAATTTCAAAGCAAAAGAAAACTGGCCTGTTTTCTACTGAAGCCGCAAGAGCACCAAGCATATTCTTTATCTTCTTTCAAAAATACGCGCTTCGGAATTTTTTTAGCAATTACCCCCTTCTTCACTACTACATTTTCTGTACTAGGTCCAGTCGATAACTGCAAATTCAAACGTTTTAAAACACTAAGCAAATATGTAGAAATGGAGGTTAGAATAAATACGAAATTCTTACCTTTTGTAAACTATTTATTACGATTCTGGATAAAGGAATTTTACAACTTTCGGTAGAAAAGTGTTTAGTCAAAACTCTCAGCATGTTCTGATGAACCGATTCCAAATATTTTACACTGAAAATATATACAGTATATCTTAAAATTAATTTTGTTTATGTTTTAAACTCTTTTGTTGACACTTAAGTAGTTTTGATGACTGCTGGTCAGGTGACAATCCAGGTGACAATACACAATATATATTTTTAATTCTTTTTAAGTGTAATATTGAGAAAGAAATATTTTTGTGGATATTATACTTAAAAAGAATAGATTTGTGCTTTTATTAGAGTTTTATTTGCTGTCAAGAAAATATAAAAGGCTTTTGATATTCACAGTATAAAGTGTTTTGATTACAAATCTTTAGATAATTATTATTAGAAAAAGTAAACAAAGACAATTTAGTTTTTTTATGCATGTTATTTATACACAATGCAGAAATGCACTTTATACATTATGATAGTGTCAATCTGTAACTTCCTTCCACAATGTGCTTGACAAATTTCACAAGGTAGTGTTGGATAGGATACTTGACCTTTTTATAATTTTTTTTAACATTAATGTAAGTGATTTGGTAGAATAAGGTGAAAGTGTATTCATTTATTTAATGAAATATTTCTTTTTAAATTTTGACCATAGTCAAAAAACAAAATTATCAGAAAAATACAGAATGAATTTTATCACTTAATTAATCAACATCAGGACATCAAACAGCATCATATATAAAAGTTAAAATGTAATATAAATTATATTAGTTTTGTTTTTATTATGATGATAATTCATAATCCCATATTCACAAAAATTTCCATTTGTGATATAAGGAAGCACTATCANATGTATATATATATATATATATATATATATGTCAAAATATGTACTGTACGAACTGTACGCTTGTTAGACAAAAGGTTTTATACCGTTCAGAGTATCCTCATCAAATTTGGCAAGAATATTTTTCGAAACCCTAGAAAAATTACTGTGGTGCCCCACTATCAAACATCCCTAAAGCCCACTCCCTCAACAAGCCCGAGCAATTTTTATGTTTCGCAGTTTCATTATTATAAATACTTAAAAACAATTGTCCTTTATTGACCTACCACACCTCCAATCGAACCTCACTAATCCCCCTCTAAAAAGCCCAAGCAACGCCGGGTACACGCAGCTAGTATAGATACAGTAAGCGTCAAAATCTTCCCAAAGAGCGCAGGAGACTATTCTAAAGAACTGGAAAATGTTGCAGGCACATTTAGTACGAAAAACTTTATATTTACTTGCATACTTATATGTAGTTATAATTATCTGAACAACGTATTTATTTTAATAATATTAACATACAAAGAACGTATGTATTTGGAGGATTTTGATGCAGACAAAAATCGATATATATGTGGAAAAAGTACACTTCGTTAATAAGTATAGTCAGTCTCCTTTGCCTTTAAAACCTTCCTAATGCGATCAGGCAGAGAATTAATAATATTCCTGCAATCGTGCGATGTTTATTTTGTTCCACTCATGTACACGTTCCCATAATTGGTGGGTGCTTTCAGACACAACTGCATAGTCAGACAAGTGACATTTAAGAAGGGACCATATGTGTTCAATCGGTTGAGATCAGGCGATTGAGACGGCCACTCAAGCAGGCTATATTGATCTCAAAGCTACGACATTCCCTCCAGGATATAGTCTGTTTTACATTATTATCTTGATGATAAATGAGAGCTCCTATGTGGTAATAATCAACAGGTTTTTAATAAATAATTGTCAAGTATCTCAGTGTAAATAACGCTATTAATTCTATTAGGTATAGAATAAAGCATTCCAGGCCAACATAGGTAATGCGGCCTCAGACCGTAAGACTACCACCACCAAATTTCAATGTTGTTTGTAGTTCTCGCTCAGTTATAGACTTTATCGATGTAGTCCCTACCCATTTTCGCCCATCTGAACCAACTCTATTAATTTTCGATTCATCTGACCATCAATCTTGGATCTTCCAATTTTCTAAGGTCCAATGTATACATAGCGTTAGGCAAAATTAAGACGTTTCTGTTTACGCAATCTGGTAAGTTTAGGCTTTTTGGGCTCTTGCTTTCAAATTGTTACGTTTTAGGCATCTGCGGATAGTTGCAGTACTCACTTCTATTCCTAAGCCATGTTTCAATTCCCTCTTTACTTGTGATGATGTATCGCAATGTCCCCTCGTTATCAAACGTACGCATACCTTTCTGTTTTAGCGTTGAACGTTTTTTCCTGCCAGCTTTTAGATTTTCGTAATATGGTAGCTCACTAGTTTTTATTCTGGATACACCCAACACCAACTTCTAATGCTGTTTTCTCAACAATTCTCAACAGAAAAACTTCTTCAGCAGGTTAACAATAAGAAGTTTCTTCTCACTGGAAAGCTTCTGCATGATGACGCATAACAAGCGGCAGCTCATTTGCATATTTATACATTAATATTGCCTTAATATGCACGAAATTACATTGTTTAATGTTGAGATTATAACAAATTAATTTATGCATCAAAATCCCCCAATGCAACAAGCAGAATTTATACACTATAGATATTTTTAAAATATAAAAATTATTTAAATTTTTTGCTATTATGTAAATATTGAAATAATCTTACAGCTGATTTCCTTTTCATTTTACTTTCGTATATCGAATGGCTTTTGCTATTTTTCTATAGTAAGTACGAACTTTGGGAGAATTTTGACGCTTACTGTATGTATGTATTGCCTATATCAGCGATCGTCAAACGGTGGTCCATGGACCACTGATGGCCCGAAAATTTCGGTGGTCAGTGAAAAAATTTGGACATTAACTCATGATTACGTAAAGTATTACGAAAGAAATGCACAATGCTTGGTTGCATTTTCTCACTCATTAGTTTTATATTCGAATAAAATAAAACCCTAAACACGAAATGATTGTTCTTCTAAATATCACTTTTGGTAGCTGTTATTGTGATCTATGTATGTCTCTTTATGCATGTATTGCACTGAAGAGGGACTTAACATTTATATAAGTCCGAAATGTACTGTACATATGGAAACAATAAAAGTGTCTAACCTGAAAGCTGTAATGATAGTCTACTGAACTTAATATCGGATTAAAGAGACAATCATTTCGTTTATGTATGTATGTTATCATTAAATAATAGTGAGATTGCGGCCGAAGTTTACATCTCTAAAACGTGAACGTGAACGTCGAGCGGCGCTCTACGTACACATTTTAGAGATGAAAACTTCGGCCGCAACCTCTCTACTAATTTGTTACAATGAAACAAGAGATTTTCATATTAATAAAGTGAAATAAAGTAAAATGGAACTTTTATGATCATTATTCTATAGATGCTTGTATCGTTGAAAAATAATAATAATAAATAAACTCATGATAGTGGTCCGCGGGATTCAAAATTGTGAGTTTAGCGATCCTTCATGACACAAACGTCGGCGACCGCTGGTTTATATAGTAAATACAATGCATATTAAGTAGTCCATCCATTAAGTATTAATTTATATTTAAGTGAACATTACGGATTAATTCTTAAAACTGAGAAAAAAGGAAAAAGAATTCGACCCTGGTTTCAAATAGATGGAAAAAGACAATTGTATTTCGATTAAAATCTGTCAATAATTGGGAAAAATACATTTATTTATACACACGACCTTGAAGCGAAAGAGCTCGAGACGCAACCGCTATCGATGGAAATATGGCGACGGTACAACGGTTAAGTACCATAGAAGACAAATTTGTTATTTTTGATGGTTTAAACGATATATAAGCATAGCATTAATACAGAAATAACATAATTAACGGAGAATAGTCTCAATGGAACTAACATTGAAGTAATGGAAGTAACTTAACATTTTATCTTGAATTTGCGTAAAAGATTTGTTTTATCACAGTTAGAATTTCATTATAAATTATTAGTTCAATGACTTTTGATGCGGAAATTATTTAATATTAATTAACGTTCTAGACATAATGACTAACGTAAAATAACACTACCTTTTCCAAAGACCGTGACTCTGACCTCGAATTTATAATATTCGGAAATGGCCAACAGATGGCGACAAAGCTGCTTATAAGAATTACAATGGCGACTATTAAAAATTATTTCTTATTAGTTTGTCGTAAAATGTTACAAAAATTCAGTAATAATTAAATCCGTCGGTCAAATGCAAAATTAAAATTCGTTTTACAATTAAATACTTTAATATAATTGTTTTAAATTTGATTTCGTATGTGAATTTGGATCGTTCATTAAAGTTTATCCAATGAAAATATGTAGACATGTTTTAAATTCTTTATTCCTTTTGTTCCGAATTACAGTATTACCTGATCTCAATTAATAATCATATTGCAGCTGCAACCTGTACGAAAAGATTTGTGATGTCCGATATCTATGGTCTTTTGTTTTACTCTTTCCACCTAGTGGGCCATTTTAGCAAGACCATTACGGATTAGGCAGGCCAACAATGCAAAAAGGAAGCGGGATCCGATATTTTTTAACAAAAAGTTTTCCTTCGACTCTATTAAATATATACAGTTTAATTCACTTAACACTTAAACTTGGCGCTTGGAAGCGAAATGTAGAAAACAATACAGGTAAAATCTTGTCCAAGCGCAAGTTTATCTTTACCAATGGAAAACTCCTAAGAAAAATTTTGATTGTCGTCTAAATTGTCATAAATTTTTACATCTCGGATGTTTTTATTTAGATATCAGTTGTTTTTTGTTTAATAATTGTATTGTTACGTCAGGACATAAGACGGTCGTATAATTCGGTCGGAGCTCGGCGACCGCCGAATGAACACATCGCCGACAAACGAACGTTTCACTATTCATTTCGGTCGACGCCGGCAGATACTTTCGATAGGCCGTTTAGAAAAATCGTTATAAAAAGTTTTAATTGGCATAAATTTGAGCTTTTGTAATTCTGAGTAACATTTTGAATAAAATTCATTTGTTTCCATACAATTTTAACTTTATATGCATAAAATTAAGCCGTAAAAGTAAATTAGCTCTATGGGAAATTCCCTTAAACTTTGACCTATCGACCCGGAAGTTTGGCCAGTAACTCACTGATAACGAGAAAAACTTAAGTTTAAAATTTGAGCTTCCTAAACCCAGTAGTTTTTTTTTCTCTACGAGCGTCTGCAGTGTCGGATGAAGAAAAAGGAAAGAAATGAAGCTCTTTTGCCAATTTTTGCATTTTCAATTTCTTATATTTCGGCAACTGCATTACAAAAAATCCTGAAATTTTGCACATTACCTAAGAAAATAGTTTTCTTTCGAACGAGATATTCGGAATTACTACAGGTGTTTTAGGGGACGGAGAAATCGACCTCCGAAAATCGGCAACTCTAATTACTGTATATATAGTCAATCAGTGACTTTTTTACTTGTCGGAGAGTCACTGTCGTGACTCCTGACTTCACAATATTGTTCGTTAGCGACGCAGATGCAAATATGAAAGCTGTCAGCAAGACACTTAAAGCTTTAAATCCGAAGTTTATATAACTTGTTTGGCTCATGGTCTTAATGTGATTTGCTGAAAATATCCGGTCGCAGTTTTCCAATATTGATGTTCTTCTCGAACACAAAGAAAGTTTACAAAAAGTGTGTAAGAGTTAAATAAAGTAATTTAACGAAATAAATCCAAATACGTATAGCTTTACCTTCAGAGTCGGTAATTACGTGTTAGTGTACCTTGGCTTAAAAGTGTACAGTAGCTTATTGTTCGGATAATTACAAAGCATTAGTATCTAGATCACGTGAAAAGTGGCTATTGTACGGTACCATTATTGATATTTTGCAAGAGGCTTACTTCGGAACCTCAGGCTGAAAACAGAATTTTGTTTATTTCAATTCATTTCTTATTAACGCAATAACTAAATTTGAAAATAAAAAACTATAAGAAACAATGGAAATATTAAGAGATGCTGAGGAGAAGCTGCTAACAATTTCTCAAAATAGGAACATTTATTCGATTTAAGAACATTATATAAGAACATTAAGAAGACATTATAAATATTACGAAAAAAATAAAAAAATATTTGAATAATTATTAAATATGTTATATTAACGTGTGCACGACGTTTGTATAGTCTGTTAAGCCGTATTTGTCATTATAAATGTTTTAAAAACGTTTTGAAGTTCGAACAAATACTTTTTTTTTTTTTCAGTGGGAGGACTTAGGCTAGGCTCTTGTATCGCCGCTGTTCATTGTTAATTATTTCAGAATGTATCAGCACTCTAGCATAGGAATTAATTATAAACATACAGTGCGTACGGTACATTATGTATGCTTACGTATTTTATTCATTTCATACATTTTATAAATATAAGGTAACATAATGAAGCGAATAAAATAATAAGCCAAACTAAATATGGCAGATTACTGACTGGAATGCATTACTATTTGTATCTAGGGCCCAGTAGAAACGAAGAAATGATTTTAAGATACGTTATCGTAAAACAAGAAACCGGCACGGATGACAACGGAAGAAAACTTCAAAATACTTCTGAAAGTCGTCATCGGATGGCGCTAGCGTCGATTTTCCTTCCTACATCCGCTTACTTCCAGGTAATTTCCGGAAGTAGAACCGAGGCGAAATTCGTAATCGGCCGCGAGATTCGAATGCGGGAAGAAAGTTTTCGATGGCAGAAGCGGCAACATAACCGAAGACAGAAGACGCGATCCGAGAACGGAAGCCGATCCTCGGACGCCAAGTTCGACGTCCCTCCCACGCGGCTTTTTTTTCCTTTCAAGGTCGCATTCCGTCTCAGAAAAAGACGAACCGCTTCTCCTAATAGCGCCCACTCCGCTTGCGCCCGACACTATTTATTTACTTTTTATAGTCCGAGACGATTTCTTTAGTCATTTCCGTGTTAAAATATCGGACGTTGTTTCTGTCATTCGGTCGGTGCGAAACAAAAGCGCGGGCCGAACGCCCGAATGACGCGGAACCGGTTGGCGTGGAGCTAGAGAGACGCGCCGGGGGAGAGATTCCGGAGGCAAAAGCGCGTCTTCGTCGCGTGTCGTTAACCCGATCGGGCGGCCGAAACGTCCTCCCCGCCGGGCGCACGGCGCCTGTCCGTCCGGCCTTCCGCTTTTGTTTTCTGCGCCGGTCACTCTCGTCGTCGCCGCTTCCGACGCCCCCGGAGTGTCGTTCCGCCCCGCCGAAGCCATCGCGTCTCTCTTCCCTCGGGGCTGCACTGCCGACGTCTGTCTTTCGCCGGGATAAAGCATCGTATCGGACGGCGTCGGATATCGTATTAGGGTCGAGTGGAAGCTGACGGGTCGGTTCGTTGTAGTGAATCGCGTGAAATTTCCAGCGAAACTCCGGCGAAATTTTCTGCCGCCGAGGAGGAATTCTAGAGGGAGACGAACGAGCGGAGGGATAAATATTTGGTTTAGAGATTGGCCACGGCCCCGGGCGATCGGACTCGACCGCGACGCTCGATAAAAGTGCGCGCCCGAAACGAGGTTCGACGGTTTTAGCGCTCGAAGTATCGAAGGGAGGAGATTCGTCGTGAGGGAGTAATTTGATCTCTTATTTGCGCAACAATCGTTTCGGGCGCGCCGAAAAGTCTAGACGTCCACGTGATCGGTTATAGCCAACCGGAACGAGTCTCCTCGCCGGCGTCGGCCAGACCATCCGGGAAGAGTTCATTTCCAACCGGGTGGGTTAGTATAATCGAGTCCTCGCATTTTGGCAATTTTTCGGCATAAGACGCGTAATTTATTACGCGCATCGGTTATAACAGTTGTAAGAAACGTCTCCGAATAAAGGGAAGACGGGAGAGCGGGCCCGAACTGATCGGAAGATCTCCCAGATACCTTCTCCTCCCGCCCGAATGCCAGGCTCCGGGTTGTCGAGTGGCGACCGTGGCCGATTCGTCGGGTCGCGGTGGTGTGTGTGTGCGAGCGGAGCCGTCTGTCCGGAATAGCCCCGTGCGCGTGCTCGTGTCTGGCGTGCGTTTGTGTGGTCCAGAAGACGAAAAGTGCATTCGGATGGTGTTGCCCGATTCGGATACTCCGGGAAGACGCCGGTCGGGGCAAAGCGAGTGCCCTCGCCCGTCTCCGATGTGAACCCGTGGTCGGCGACCACGGGGTCGGATGAGACGACGGGTGCCGAAGGTGAAGACAGACCGCCGAAATTATGTTGCGCTTTCATGTTTCGATCTAGGCGGAACGCGTTAGTGAAACGCTTGTGGAAACACCGGCTGCCGGTCGACGAGGACGAATCCGCCCGTCGGCTGGAGACCGAAGTCAAATTCGTGGTGCAGAACATGCTGAAGAGACTCAAGGAGAGCCAGTTGGAGTTGTTGGTGCAAGCGGTGGAGAGTCGCGGCTGCGACGTCACCGGCTGCGTCCTGGTGCCGAGAGGCGATCTCCGCTTGGGACGGAGGACCCTACCGCCGCACGTGCTCTGCTGCCAGCTGTGGAGGTGGCCCGATGTCCGGCAGCCCTTCGAACTCAAGTGGTTGCGTTGGTGCGACGCCGCCGACGATCCTCTGTACATATGCTGCAATCCATATCATTGGAGTCGACTCTGCAAGCCAGGTGAGATTATTTCGCTCTCTCTTTTCGCGTTTCGATTCTTCATTTTCTACTTTCTCAATGTATTTATAGGACAGGTCGTTGGCGAACTGTCGTTTCGTTTTCTCCCAGCAAATAATCGAGGTCGGTATCGATTCTAAGCGCCGAGATCCGTCGTCGTCACGTTCCGCCACAATCGGCGGGCGACGCAGTTCGGCGAAATAGTTCGTCCGTTCGCATGGAAAACACGCCGCCAAACGTGCGTTCACGTTTTAAACTACGCGTCTGTCCGTGTCGTAAATTGGGCATAAAAGCGCCTCGACCGAAACCGACCACTTTAATAATTAGATTAGTATCCGGACACGAGGACGCCGACCGACCCGAACCCGAATCCCTCCGAGGGCCGTCGTTCGGTCCGACCTCTGGTCTGTCCGTCGCCTTCCAATTTATTACGTGTCTCTCCACGCGAAAATTTTCCGAAATGTGAATCGTTCGTTTTTCTCGAAACACGTTTTTTAATAGTACACGTTTGTTTACTAACTCAAAAAAGACGAATAAGTCTGAAAGGACTTTGAATTTAGATGACGGTTAGGTAAACTACTGACCGAAGTAGAAAAACAAAGGAATCTCTCGATGGGACGTTCGGACGCCTAACGAGTTTTTTTTTTCATTTGTTGCTACCTTTGCGTTATCTCGCTTAGAAATTTCGTTTATATCTACAATTAGGCAACTCTTTACCATGCCCGGCATTTGATAAGTTATTGGAATCCGATACGATTATATTTTGCCTGTTTGGGTTCTTTTGTTGATTTCAGTTTGCGCCAGTTGTTTCTCGTAGGAATTTTTGAGTGGTAGACGTTATTCTCGGCGCGAAAGCGTCGGTGCGTGTCTGCCACCGGCGACGAAAGAGCGATGCGATAACCGTTGTCCGGTGCCGTCCCGGCGACGTCGGTGTCATTTCTATTCGTGCGAAAGTTCTTATTTTGGCAGGCATCTTCGCTCGGAAATTCGATTATAATAGTAAAATTTACGAATGAAACGAAAAATTATTCTCTTATTTTTGATTCTGCGAGTTTCTAAATATGGCATCGAATTCAGATAAAATGTTTTTCCATCTTTTGTTTCCATTTCCATCGGAATTTAAATTATATTTTCTATCATTTTAAAAATGACTGTGAAAATGCGCGAAATTTAAATGCTCTTGGAATTATTCGTTGTCAAGGGGCGTGAAAATAGAAGACGAGACTAATCGTGTAATTAATAATAGACTGAAAAGATCGTATTTACAATTACAGTACAATGTAGCATATGTTGAAACAATTTTAACTATTTTCATTGCTTTTTTGTTTCTGAAAATCTGAATCCAAGTGTCAAATCCAGTAATTGAAATTATTTTTTGAAACTATAATGATTAAATTCAAATACAATGTGCTCTAAAAGTCGTCATATGTAGGAAAATTGAATCGTCGGTTTCCAAATTTTTGGATTAATTATTGTGGCCTTGCGGAGTGGCCTCTGAAGTCCCCGGACCGTAACTATCTTGATTTTTTTACCTGTTGGACACCTGAAGACTTTGGTTTACTGGGAAACATTCAAAACTTGGATCTCCTAAAGGAATACATTTGAAGTTCGATTAGGTGCGTAACATCTGATGTGTTAACCTGACAGGTTTGAATGACAGAAATGCATTCATGTGTGTTTAGAAAGAAATGATCAACATTTAGAGATAGTTTTATAGTCACATTTGTTTAAAAAGTTTTACATTTTCCTGTGTATTGCAACTTTTGGGACACCTTGTATTTCAACTTTCATTTAAAAAAATATATAAAATATGTGTTTAAGAGAACCTTCTTTATACCAATATAACTGTAAACAAATGCTAACTTAATATATATATGAAGGTATAGAATAAGAATGACTGTTTAATAATGTTTTGATGTGAGACTTGTTGCTTTAAACTAATTTATTTCCTTGGATTAGAAAGGATTTTATTCTAGTATAATTTTAATAGTTGATTTTTGATATTTTAATCTTTTAGATTTGGTGAAATTGAATCTTTAAATTTAAGTATTAAACTGTTGTGGATGTTAATATTATCTTAACTAAACAAGTTAACTTATTATTTTGGTATAAACTAATTTCTTTGTTATTTTATATTAGACAATGCAATTTATAAAATTAATCAATTTATAATGTATAGAAGAACTAATACAGTTCATAATAAGGTTACAATAAGAATTTTTCATTAGTTTCTTAGATGATTGTTATGTAGTTTTAATTTGGTTCTCTTCTTATTTTACCAATTTCACTTATAATGAAATATAAAAAATTTAAGTTGAATCAATTACACAATTACCATAATGTAATAAATATAAAATAACTTCTGCAGTATTTTATTAAACATAACAATATCTCATCAATTTAGCTAAGCAAACTTGTGAAGGGTAAAAGTAATATACAGTATTATAATGCAGATTTTATAAAACTTACAAAATTTTAACTTATTATAGTTGCATATAAAAACAATATAAACATATATACTGTAAATTCTTTATTGGAATATATACAAGATAGAAGTTACATTTATGCATGTGAAGTTTCTTACATTGGAAGAATGTAGCAATAATTACTCTTCTTATCTAGTGCTCAATTGTTAATGCTGTCATCAGATGTTCTGTTTTCACTAGTATGAACAATTGATCAACAAAAATAACATTTGAACTTGGCACCATATTCAAAACGATGAGAAAAAAATGCTTAATTCTGGAAACCAAATTAAATTTGGTTTCCAGAATTAAGCATTTTCTTCTTATATTTTTATGGACAGTTGTTTTTTGAAAAAGTTATTCATGCTAGACTAAAATATTTAATCAAGATGTATTGATAGACTTGAGGAGTTGTTATTGTTATTGGTTTATAGTACTTTAGTTTTTCAGATTTTCTATTTAAAAGTATTTTATAATGATTGACCTAAGGTCTACTGGCTTAGAAATGAAAATGAAATATTTTATTTTGACATGTGTTCCTACTTATCAAAATTCATTTATTGGAATCAAGAGTGATGAATAAAACCTTTTTTCCATAATCTAGTATTGTTAATTTAAAATTAAAGAGTAACAGCTTATTAGAATTATTATGCTTTAAAATTATTTTCCTATTTACTTTTCACAATTTTTTTATATATTTTCACAAAATATAAAAATATATAAAAAAATATTTACTAAATATGCCATAAATGTGTTTTCAGAAATACAATATTATTTAAGGGACCATAAATCTTGCTAGATGTTTTAAACAATAAATCATCTTTTGTAAGTTTCTAAATGATAAGTTTATTTAATTTAAAAAATAAGATTTCTTAATTTATTGAGAAGAGCATAACATAAAAATTTACAGAAATATTCCTTCAGAGTTTATGATGATTAAAGGTAGCGTATTAATTGTAAATTGGATTTTTCAATGGATTTTGGCCAAAAAGTTTAATAATTATTTCAAAATTATAATCCAATTCAATATCCTATACACATACAAAAATATACAAATTGTGTTTTATTCATTGTGGGATTTTGATCAATTGTTGTCATAAATGTTTCTTATAATTGTACAAATCATCTTATATTCTGAATAAACAAACATAATTTAAGCTTTCTAATTAAATATTCTTTTGACTTTTTTTATGGAATTAATTGTTATTGTAAAGCTAAGGTAATGCTTGTTTGAAGGTACATCTATTAATACATGAATTATAATAAATATTTACATTAAATTGAAGTTTCACCATCTTTAAAAGAAATTTTGAAAAATAGATTAATTAAAGAAAGGCTATTCAACAACCCTAAATATTTTGTTTGAAAGGACTCACTATAATCAATTTACTTGATTCATGATATATTAAGTAAATTGTTACTAACATTAGACATTTCATCATTAGTTGTATACATTATATACAGTTTCAGATGAGTGTAAAATATATATATATATATATAAGTTACAAATAGTTAATTAATATTTTCTAAGTTATTACATGCTATTTGTTTTTCTTTCTTTACATGCTATAAGCTTGTTTCTTTATGTTTAATTACAATGAAATTAATAAAAGTGCATAAAAACAACAAAAATAAGATTATGAATATAATATAACTATATTATTATTTAGTTGACATTAAAAATTATTTATTAATTTTATACATTTACTATATCATGTAATTAATATTTTGGAACATATAATGAAAATTCATATTTTATTTAAAAAAGAATATGAAGTGTATATATATATATTTAATAGAAAATACCAAAGAATTCTTCCATAATGTTTTTCTTGGGTAATTTTTATTTTACAGATTTAAAAAGTCTATTGATTAAAGG